CTCGGTCTCTTTCCTGAGTCAGGGTCTCACTCTGTAGACCAGGCTGACCTTGAACTCATAGAGACCACCTGCCTCTGCTTCCCAAGTGCTGGGATCAAAGGTGTGTGCCACCATACGCAGCCTAAGAATTGGGTTTTAATTATTTCTAGATATTTGTTCTCAGATTTAATTACTTAATCTCTGAAGTTTTAATTAACTGTGGTTGTTCTTCACAAGTTTTCATAATGTGTATACCCTTTAAAAGATCTCAAGATTTCTTTATTTTAAGTGTTCGAGTGTTTACCTACATGCGTAGATTATGTGTTCCCACTGCATGCCTGGTGCCCAAGGACACCACAAGGGGGCATTAGACTCCTGAGAGTTAGCCACTATGTGGATGCTGGTCTTTTCCAGAGTAACAAAGTGCTCTTCATCTTTGAGCCATCTTTCCAGACACCCTACATTTTTTTATTTGTATGTATCTAAGTGTGTCTGTGTGTGTGAGTGCCCATGGAGGCCAGAAGGGGCATCAGAGTTCCCCAAGCTGAAACTATAGACACTTGTGACGTATAGGTGCTGGGAACTAAACTCAGTTCTACTCATTCTGCATGCTAACCGCTGAGCCATCTCACCAACCCCAGTCCATTGTTTACTTTATTCAAAGCTACTGATATAGATTATTTAATTTACTGTTGAAATGTGATCTTTCCCTAAAAGCTGTATGTGCAATAAAACTTGGATTTATTTTCATTGCAAAGTTACTTGCCAGCACAGACTAATGTTGCTCATTTAACCTGTTAAAAGGCTTTGGGATTAATTTTTATGTTTGTAGTATGATTATAGATTTATGTTTTGCTTTTGAAGAATGAAATCATTACTTTGTTTTACTGGTAAATTCATGCTTATATGAGTCATCCCTTGTCATTTATGAAAGGAAAATAGTGTTCTATCGTGAAAGCTAGAATTGAGTTAGTCAACCAGAAGCGAGCGCCTGACTGTTTCCAGATGCTTGCTCTTCCTCTCCCTGCAGGGTTTGGATGCAGTGCTCAGTCTTACCTCAGTCAGGAATTTGCTAAGCTTGCCCTTTCCCCCATATCCTTTCATTATGGCTAGATAGATACATGCTGAAATCCATTTTATGATTTCCCGTTATGATAGTTAATCAGGAAAATATGGACAGAAACTCCTGAGCTAAACACAATTTAGAAGACTTTTACATTTTATGGACTTCGAAAATGACCTTGGTTCTGAATTGCATCTCCTCCTGTAAGTGAACAAGCACCGTTTTTGCCCAGCTGTTTGGTGTCCTTCCACAGCCCCTACAGCTGACACCCTGACACCCTTTCAAATCATTGTTAGGAAAGATATGTGGTGTGTCCATGTGCTGCAGTTGGGTGCTTGTTGTGACTTGGTAGCCATTCCAGTTTTCTTAGAAGAGCCCGATTCGTAAGGCTAACAACTGACCCTTTAAGTATGTAAGCCTTTTCTCTCTTACCCTTTCTTTCTCTTGAGAAATGACGATGGAGGGAAGAAAAGGTGTAGATTGGTCTTACATTAGTCACTCTCATTTCTTTGCTCCTGCTCCTTTATTTTGCCCAGGGAATCTTCATATATCTTAATAGTATATATGATGGATAGAAACAGGTGTTGCTCTTCAGTGTAAGTGTATTAATTAATAGCCAATATTCTTAATTATCCAACTCCTTGATTCTTCCTCTAGTTGCTTTTCTTTTCCAACCTTCTCTGACTTAACCTTACTCCCAAAAATGTGTGATGGAAAGGCCTAGAGCAGTATTGTATTGTTTTATAATGGCCTTCTATTTTTATTTTTTCTTCATTGTGATGTGTAATCTACTGGAGATGCCTTTTCCTATTGCCATGTGTTTCATTTACTGAGCTTTTCCTGTCTGCATTAGTACATTTTCTCTGTTAATAATTTCATCCATTCCAAAAGGTTTAGTAATTTTCCCTGTCCTAGAATGTACTCCTTGAATTTATTTTATTCAGTGGATTTAGCTGTACATTTTGTTCCATACATATTTATATACCAAACACTGAAATGCTGGAGACACAAATGTAAGTCCTAATCTATAAAGGTGCCCTTCAGTATGTAGAGAGGAAAGCAACTTGATGATGTTACAGTACAACAATCCCATAGATACCATTGATATTTTTCTCTCTCTCTGAGACAGTCTTTCTAGGTGTCCCAATCTGGCCCCATACTCATGAATGCTGGGATTACAGGCATGTGCCACCATGACACATCATTCATGTTTTTATAGGAGTGAAGAGTAGACATCTCATAGTTCAGAGGACAGTTCATGATCAGGAAATCTACCCCAAAGGAAGTCAGGCTTGAGTTTTAAAGAAATAATAGAAGCTGAAAGAAAGGTCACCTAAGAACATTCTAGGCAGAGATGATAGCATTAACCATAGCATGACAGAAGGGAACGGCACATGGTAAAGGAGCAGGAATTGAGAGGAGGTAAAGGTAGAGGGATTAGGGACCTCCCTTCTCTTCCCCAAAATACTACCATGTTGCAGAGTTTACATCTCATCCCCTAGGAAGTGGGGAGCTTTTGACCCACTAGTTAGTCGGGGACATAGGATCCAGTGCTTGTTTTCTGTGGCTTAACCTCATAGCTCTATAGAAGGTAGCTGTTATATATAGATGCATAATAGATCCCATAGAAACCTAGTAGCTAACATGCGTTATTATCTTCTAGTCTCTGTAGCTCAGGAGGCTGTGGGCATGGCTAACTGGAGTTCTCACAAGGCAGCAATCAAGTTGTCAGCCCGACTGCAGTCATTGCAAGGTCAGCTGAGGGAGAAGCCCTTCTAGCCTCTCTCAGGCAGCTGCTGACAGCCTCCTGTTGTTTGGGGCCAGTGGACTGGATTCCAGTTCCTCTCCAGACGTGCCCCTTCTTCTCTTGATCCATGGGTCTCTTGATGAAACAGCTCACAATGTGGTGGCTGTGAGAGTGAAAGTGGAAGGCGGGTCAGAGACCAGAGTGCCACAGCTAGTCAGGAAGCAGCATCTCATCACTTGCCATTTATCCATTCGCTGTCCGTTAGTAGCAAGCTGTTAGGTCTCCCTCTAGCACATTTTAGAGGAAAGATCACATGGCAACATGAATCCCAAGGGGCTTGGAAGCCATCGTTGAAGCTGCCTACCAAGCAGACTTAAGGAGTAAGATTAGGTGACAAGGAACACTTAGGAGGCTAATGTAATAATCCAGGTGAAAGGTCTGGAAATCACTGTGGCTATGGACTAGGATGAACTATTAAAAACTGTCTTGGGTGTAGTGGTAAGACATCTTATTAATTTATAGAGTATGAAGGCTGTAAGGGTTAAGAAGGAGTCACAGATGATATTTAATTCTTCATTCCTGTAGCTGTCTTACTACACAAATATGTTTTACTTAAATGTGACAAAAGCTCCTGTCCAGGTTGAAAATGTCACCCTTGCTGCTCCCTTGCCTCCATACTTTAGTGAAGTGGCCAGTCCTCACCCTGGCTGTGGCTGTGGCTTCACTATACTGTAAGATCCCTGTGACTTCTGCCTGCTTAATCTCCTTCTGTCTTTGTTCCCATTGCCATTCTTCTGTACTCAAGAATCGCTCTACTTAAAAGTTGGGGAGCACACTTCTAATTCTTTTTCTGTGTCCTTTTCTTTAATCTAGATTCTAAAATGCCCGGTATCTGTGTATCTTTCAGTCATTCAGCCAACACTTATCACGGGCATACTTGGTGACCAGCACTTTACTAGGCCTCCTTGGGAATATGATGGTGAGCAAGACAAAGCCCCTGTTCCTTTGGTCTGCATTAGTAGTTCCCCTCCTTCTCATCTGTCAGAAAGATCTCAAATCCTTTAGTCACACTTCTGAATGTGATGGTGAGCCAAACATTGTCCCTGTTCCTCTTGGTCTGCTCTAGTATCTCTTCTCGTGTTAGAAATACGAGTCCTTAAGGCACAGTTAGTTCCATTTCCATTTCTCTGTGAGATACTTTGAGATCACAGGCTTGAATTCCCATGGGCCCCACCTCCTGCAGCTGCTTCCAAGAGAATTCTGCATTTGACGTTTAGAGATTACATGAGGTTTAAAGTGAGAACTGGCGTCAGTTGTTAAGGGCAGTGACCTCTCCCCTTAGTCTGTAGCCTACAGTAGAGCAGAGTGTCACCCTCTGACTCACCAGAGTCACCTGCAAAGCTTTGTAGACCTGTAGATGTCTGGACCTTCCTTAGATATTCTGGTTCAGCATGGCAAACTAAAGGAAAATGATCTCCAAGGTGAATCTGGTGTCCAGCTTGATTAGAGGGTTATTGCACTAATGTCACCTTTGTGCTGTTAATAGTTTTGTTTAAACATGGTCATCCAAATAAACTAAAGCAGTAAACGGAGTGTTGAGTGAAGATTATCTATGTCAACCCATTCCTAGAAGAATCCTCATCCATCTGTGGGAGTAACCAGGCTACTCTGTATTTTAAATAATGAAAATATGTCTAATAGGACTCGTGTATTTGGCTTAGCTGTTATGAGCTCTTGCTGCTCTTGCACAGCAGAGTTAAGTTCCCAGATCCTACATTAGGTGACTCACAACTGACAGCCCCAGGGGATCTGAAGCCCTTTTCTAGACTTCTCAGTCACCCACAGGCACAAGTGCATGGTTACACACACACACACACACACACACACACACACACACACACACACACACACACTTTTTTTAGTATGACTGGTAATTAACCAGATTTAGAAATGTAGATCAATCAACGATTATATTAATGTATGTATTCTCTCTAGCTCCTTTGCTCTAATAGCTTTCTGAGTCTATGAGAAATGTGGAACAAAGACCAGTAATTATTTTTTCCTGAAATTCTAATAAATCATATTCTGTTCTTTAAGGAAGTATATTATTACCATCTTGCAAACAGGGATTTTTGTTTTGTTTTGTTTTTTTTTTTGCAAACAGGTGTTATTAAAATGTGGCTTAATAAGGTTTTTTTTTCCCTCCTTTAGTGTTATTCCTCTTTTAAGAGAGTCTGTTGGAATATTAATGCAAAGAACTCCTCCCTCATTGGAAAATACACTTCCCCAATGCTATCAGAGGGTAAGTTTTGCAAATCATTGGATTGTATGTTGTTTCCAAAATGTTAGGGTTTTCTTTTTCTTTTCTTTCTTTTTTTTTTTTTTTGGTTTTACGAGACAGGGTTTCTCTGTTTTGGAGGCTGTCGGTCCAGCCTGGCCTCGAACTCACAGAGATCCGCCTGCCTCTGCCTCCCGAGTGCTGGGATTAAAGGCGTGCGCCACCAACGCCGGCTAAATGTTAGGGTTTTCATCTTGCATAAATATGGGTAGCATGTACATATAATTTGACCTTTCTCCCAAGACTGCATGGTTACATGATTGTCATTCATATAAACCCAAGCAAATTCATTAGAAAACATTAAACTTTATTAAAGAAAATGTGTATACTGTACTCATCTAGAAATTGAATTGTAACTGTCTTATTCACTCTTCTATTGCTGTGAGAGACACCATGACCAAAGCAACTCTTAGAAAAGAAAGCATTTAATTGGGGCTGGCTTACAGTTTCAGAGGCTTAGACTGTTATCGTAGCAGGGAGCATGGCAGTAGGCAGGCAGGCAAGATCTAGAGCAGTAGCTAAGAGACAGCTACATCCTGACCTGCAGGTAGAGACAGAGACATACATACACTGGGCCAGATGTGGTTGTTTGAAACCTCAAAGGCCACTCCCAATGACACACCTCCTCCAACAAGGCCACACCTCCTAATCCTTCCCACACTCTGGGGACTGAGCATTCAAACAAATGAGCCTGTCGGGACCATTCTCCTTCACACCACCTCATCAGTGTAGTTAAAATTACCTGTTTCTATGTGTGTGTGTGTGTGTGTGTGTGTTCCTGTATATGTATACCACATGTGTGTAGGTGCCTGTTGAGGACAGGAGGAGCATCAGAGCCCCCGGAACTGGAGTTACAGGCAGTTGTGAGCTGCCTGCTGTGGCTGCTGGGAAAGGAGCTCCGTCCTCTGAAGAGCAAGTGCTCTTAACTGCTGAAACCATCCCTCCCACCCCTCGGTGTGTTCTGTTTGTTGTGTTTTATTTTGTTTTTGTGGCACCTACTGTGTAGCAGATGCGCTTCTGAGATACTAGAGACAGATGGTGAACAAAGAAAGACACTGTGCTCTCAAGGAGCCCACAGTCTAGTGGGCACACAAATGTTAAGTGATGCTGAGGGCAGGAAAATGTCCGTGATGTGCACTGTAAGAAATGAAATGAGAATGTAGTAGATGTGGATGACTACATCAGATTCAGCAAGGAAAGTGTCCAGTCATATACAAATCCTTAAGAAGAATGTTCCAGAATGCCACACACACACACACACACACACACACACACAAAACCACTAATGTGAGGCCACTATGACAGGAACTAATTTAGTGTATTTGGAGACTAGCAAAACAGGTTTTGTGGCTGCAGCATCGTAAGTAAAGGGGAAAGTGATTGAAAGGTTGGAAAGAAGGCAAGGACCAGATGTTAGAGGTCTTGGTCATGCTAAGAGGCTTAGACTTCACTCGCAGTGGGAAGATCTGGAATGCTTTGGTGCAGCAGGAATGTAATGGATTGTGTGCTTTAACAAGATTGTCCTGTGTAGAGAACATGTTTTGGGGAAAGCTGGCTGAGACTACTGTCATGGCAGTAAGATGGAAGCAAACACATTGCAGTGTGTTTTTGGAGGAGGGTTGCATTAATGAAGGGGAAGGCTGACACTAGGATGGAAGTGTTTGAGAGCGGGGAGTTAATTCCAAAGTAAGATTCTGTTTATAACCCATTAAGATTGAAATACTGAGCAGACATTACGGAGGATGACAGCTAGGCAGCACATCTGGCATCGTGGGCACTGATAGAACTGAAAAGATTTAAAGCCAGGCCAGCAAAGTAGCTCAGGGGAAGAGTGCTACCCAGCATGTGCAGGCCAGGGGTCAGGTTCTTAGGGGTGGGGGACAAGAGGACGGAAGAATGTCTGAATCATTGAGAAGGCATGCAGTGACCCTGGGAGATGATATAGCTCTGTTTTCACCTCCGCATTCAGAGACAGGTAGAATAGCCAGAAAAGGAATTAGGGAACTACAAAATCAGAAAACAGAAAATAGTCATTTCACTTTAATACTTTTTTTTAACTGCATTTCCTGTATTTGCAAATATGTCCATTTTGTGTAGATATTCAGAATTGTATCTTTAATAAAAGAAATGTCCCTCTGGTCTATTAACCTTTTCAAGGAACCTTTTCTGTGTAATGAATTCTATCGTTTCTAAGTATGTGTTCATTTCTGTCCTTTATTTCCAGCCCTTTTTTCTGTGGTCTACTGTGTCATTCTTTTTCTAGCTCTGTAACCCAGCTGTACTTCTGATCTATTTGCGAAGTTAAAACTTCCCTCTAGGTACTCTCAGATGTCTTGACAGATTTTTATAAGTGTTGGTTCATTCTCTTTCCCCATCCCGTCTCAATGTCACCGGAACATGAGTACTCCATAGGCATCTTTTCTGACGTCCCTTTTTTCTGTTGCTACATGGTTGTTTGTAGGTGGGAGGTTACTGTCTTGATCTTGATGCTGATGTCTGCCCGGTGTTTCAGGTGCAACAGTTACAAGGAGTTTATAGCTTACAAGAACAGCACTTCTGGACGCTCTGTTCTGATGTTTACGTTGGGACCTTGAAGCTCCTAGTAGCCCCAGATGCTGACGCCAGGTGGATCTTAAGCCAAACACATAATATTTTTACACAGGTAAGACTTGTTACAAACCTCTTTTAAGAGTCTTACAATTCTCTGTATCTGCTAGCTTTAAATACCTTACATTTAACAAATCAAATATTGAAACTACTAAACTAAAAGAATAAACATTGTTCTCCAATCTGAGTGAAATTTGGAAAGTCCTTATTTTTCTTAACAGCCTCCCTCACTCTCCCTCCCTCCCTCCCCCCTCCCTTCCCCCCCTCCCTCCCTCCCCCTCCCTCCTTTCTTCCTTTTATTTTTTTTGCAGTCCTGGGTATTGACTCAGGGCCTCCCACTTTAGTTAGTATTGTTGACTGGAGTCTAAACATTCCTCTAAGCAGAAACACTTTTCTATGATGTGTGCATCACTGGATACATACTTCTGTCTTTCTCTCCCTTTACATCTTCGGGCATGAATATAATATGCAGTGAGTTAAATTCAAGGCATTACATAAATTAGAGATTCTGCCTCCTGATGAGAGACACACATGCTTAGGTTCCTTATGAATGAATTACTGACAGATCTAGTGTTAATTAGGATTTACATAATCCCAATCTTAGATGCAGCAAAGACTCTGCTATAGTGTGTGCTGGTACCAGTTGTTCAGAATTTTAACAGCTTTCTGAGCAGTCACAGTATATAAATGCCCCTCATCTCTGTGAATGTGTGTCATCGTGGCTTTCATAAGGAGCCTTGGAGGCCTATGCTGGGTATCTGAATACTTCTCGTACTGGCTCCATGTTTCGGGGACAAAAGGACAGCAGCATGGCAGTGACCTTCTGCTTGCTGGCCCCTCCAGACCGGGTCCTCTCCTTTATTCTGTGTTTTCTAGTGCCTCCTACCCTCGCAGCGGGGCTTCTGTGAGCATCTAGGACACCCTGCACTCTTGGCTTTGTCACTGCATCCATTTTTCCCATGAAGAAGAATGCATTTTATAGTTCGAGAACTGGGCTCACAGCAGTAGCTGCCTATTGGGACTACTGAAGCTGTAACCGCAGGAACACGGGAGGCTTCCAAAGCCTTAACCCTGGCCTCTGGAAATGGCTGTGTTTGAGCATTCCCTCAGCTGCCTCCTCGATTTCAGAAACTATATTTGGGCTTCAAATACTTGTCTTTTTGTCATCTAAGGTCCTGACTAGTTGATTTCATTCCTTGTAGTTACCAGGGATTCCCTTTGAGGCTTGCTGTAAAGGTATTCAAAGCCCTTTCCCTTCCTGCCCTGGAGAAGTAGGGGTCATGTCTCTAAAATAATTTTTATTCATACACTTAGTGATTTAAAATTTTTTAATCGTTCTTTCTATTCTCACATACCAGAATAGACTATTTAAATAATTTATTTCGTTTTCTGCTTATGCAGTAACAATGCCTGTCCTTGTAGCGTGAGTAAATGTCAGGGCTTGCTATAAATAATTTTATTTCATGAACTGCAAGTCCTTAGATAACTTTGTAATTTAAGTTACATCTTCCTCACTTATCAAAGTGAAGCCAGGTTACTGCTTTTTTGAGGGGGAAAGTCATTACACACAGTGAGAGGTCTCATCAGGTAAAGGACCCCAGTGCCAAGCTTGATGACCCGACCTTCCATGATGGGGGACCAAGAAGTGATTGCCCTGACCTCCACACACAAAATAAGTGATGTAAAAATGAATAAAATCCATTTGCTAAACGGCACTGATGCTTTCTCTCAGCCAAAGTGTCTAGTCTCCGTTCTAAAGAAGGAGGGCTTCCTGCTGAGTTTCCTCGGTGTGTTTGGTGTCTTTCTTACAGCTGACCCTGAGGAAGAATGTAAGGAACGGGCTTTAGTTAAAGGCATTTCTTATGAAAGCTTGTATTAAGGTAACTTTAAACTGAAAGAACCAAAATTAGAGAATTGGATGTTTCTATTTAGTTCCCGATCTATGTATGTGGTGACTTTGGAACCACGGGGATTTGTCATTTTTAATATCATTTTCTAGAGTCACCGATTTCTCTTGAGCTGCTAAAGACGCAGGCTTGTTGTGCCTGAGTGTGGCATGGGGAGGAGCTGCTGGAAGCCCCTCAGTCTCCTTTGTGAATAGGAATTAGGTGTAATCCAGTGTTGAAGCTCTAGGTCTCCTTGTACAGCAAAGTCTTCCTCAGTGTCCATGTAAGCTAACTTCGAAATTAATTATTAGTTGATAATGGTGAGATGAAAAGTTTGTTTTTGTGTTTACTTAGAAACAGAAAGTGAGACCCTGGATTAGAAGCAAGTCAATGGTTTATGGCTTTTGTTTAAACTGGCCATGATCATGTGTCAATCTTAATGGTATACTTCACAATTACAATTTCAGCCTTAATAGACATTGTTTTGTTAGAAATAATGTTTGAAGAAAAAAGTTCTAAATCTGTTCAAACAAAGTTCTAGAATATGTTTGAGGTTCATTATCCCCCACCATTCCTCAAAGTACAAAAGACAGCCAAGCCTACTTACTGCAAGTTGTCTCCTGGCAAGACTTCCTAGCTCGCTCTCCCAGATAGGTATGCCGGTTAAGTCTTGAGCCCCCAGCTTCCTGAGTCCCCAGCTTCCTGAGTCCCCAGCTTCCTGCTTCTGCCTTTTGGGCTCTGTTCTTTTACCTTAAAATAGAAGGGAACAGTTATATCCAGGAAGGAATCAAAAAGCCTCCTCCCAACACAAGTCGGAGTCCCTAAATTACAGCAACCCTCCGCCCCCTCCTGTCTCCTGTGTTCACACTCCCTCCCCTTCTCTGAGCAGCAGTGTTACTCAGGCTTTTGCTCTGCTTGAGTGACATGCCCAGAAGAAGCTCATCTTCCCTTCTCTAAGTGGGTTTCTGGTTTTCCATCCTTTCTAACCTTTCCCCCTTTTTGTAATGGGCTTTAATGTTTGTTGAGTATTGATTTTGTTTGCCTTCTCTGCAGGCTTTTTCTTAGCTATCTTTCCTTATCATCTGTACCTAACACTCAGCAGGCTGAGCAGACAGCCATGGGATCTTATATATCCCCAGGTTTGTTATTTTTCATTACGCCATGTGGTATCTGTGTTCATTGACTGGCTGGTAGTAATGGATACAATGATGACAGCAGTGGCAATGCTGGCACTTACTGAGAGCCTGCTGGGTGTCAGTTATCATCATAGGCATTAATGTATTCGTTACACAGGACAGTTTACAGAAAAAGAAACCAGATCTGTTTTCTTTGGTTTCCCTTTTTGTTTTGTGGTGTTAAGTAAACACTGAGCCGTATCCCCAGTTCTTGGTTCTTATCACAGTGTCATTAAGTAGCCCAGGCTAGCCTTGAACTTGCTCTGTAGCTTCAAAGTTGTAGTCTTCCTGCCCCTGCCTGTTTTAAGAGCACTGAGATAAGAGGTGTGTCATGCTAACCAGTTATATCATTATTCTTAACTTATAATTTATTCTATTTATGTACATTTCATTAATTGTATAGTTTCATTAATTCTCTCTCACGGAAAAATAAGTTAGTTTTGTATGACTTTATTTTATTTGTGTGGGTGTTTTGCCTGCTTGTATGTCTATGCATTGTGTGTGCCTAGTGTCAGCAGAGACCAGAAGAGGGCGTCAGATCCCCTGGGACTGGAGTTGCAGATGGTTGTGAGCCACCATGTGGGTGCTGAGAGAACCTGGGTCCTCTGGAAGAATAGACAGTGCTCTGAACCTCTGGGTCATCTCTCTAGCCACCCCCTCCCCCTTGCATTTAGAAGGGATAAAGATGAACATGTTCAGTCAAAATCCCTAACAAGAATGTGTCTATGGCTTTGGCCCATAGAGAATACAAATAAAACAACAATTTCTACAGCCATAGTCTAACTTTAACTTGTCTTGGAGCCTTTCCAAGCCTGGAGCAGCAGGCTAACTTTTGAGGTGGAGACAGGGGCAGTGAACTTAGAGGGTTAAATTGACTGGTTATTTTTCCCATTAAAGAAGGTGCAGACCGCTGGGATAGCTGGCATGGGTCCTGTGGTTAAACTCTAGATCTCTTTGTATCAGGCAGTAGGTCACTGGCCAGAAGACTCCTTGGAAATTTGGCTTCTCTTTACTTTGAAGGAAATTGAAACGAACATGGGGAACTGGAGAACCAAGCTGCCCATTCCCACTGGGACAGGGAGATGCAGCAAATGGTTTCTTTATCTTTGCTGTTGGACTGAGCTTTTGTGGAAAGCTGTTATCCCCTCAGGGGACTGATACCAGTTTGAGTAATTAACTCATGATTATGCAAAGATAATTTATCTAGCGCCTTTGTTTTTCTCTTCCCTTTTCATCGCCTTGGGCTACTCATTTCTTATTACTGTCTTCCCCATGTTAAGACTGGGGTAATGAAAATGGCAAGCAATAAAAAAGGAGCCCAACTGTTTTGCCCATTTCACTTTCATTAGCAATTTTGTTTAAAGTGAAAAGATATTAAACAATATGTTTGGGTAATATTTTTACTTTCTATTAAGATTATACATAGAAGAATTTTGCAAAAGTAGATTCTCAGTCATCCCAGAGCCATCTGGATTGAGTTAATCAACTCATACTTGCAGTAAATCAGAATAATTTATAGTAACAGCTTTTGTAGTGAGTGAAATATTTTTTCTCATACATTCACACATGATCCTGACAACAGAAATAAACTCTAGTGGGTTTATTAACTACCTGTTCAATATTAGATGAGCATGTAACACTCGTGCAAATCATTAGCACTGATTTCATCAACACTGTTTCACAATGAAGAAAACTGGACTTCAGTTTTAATTTGTAGGTAAAAATCATACAAACACTAAGTTCTTCCCCACAAACCTGTTAGTCAAAGAGAAATGGGAACAAGTACATTTTTGTGTATGTTAAGTAACAAGAATTTGAGCTTGTCATGAGAAGACTTTCAGAGGACAGCAAAAGGCATATTTTCTGTGCTCAAAACCTAGGGTCTGTCTAGTTTTTTATTCTACTAGAATAGGCCTTGAAGCTAGCCCATAAATTCATCATTATTGCACAGAACCCTTCCACCTGAGTTCCAGAAAAATAAGCCATAATAGAAA